AAAAGATCAGCGCCAGGCGATTGTACGTCCCAGGAATGTGTTTGGATTTAAATAAGAATATTGTGGTTTAAACAAACAAGAACAAGCTTGCGAACAAAAAACATCCATGCCTTGTCCTTGCATGATTGCTTATTAATGACATGAACGAGTGCTTCATTATCAGTAAAAAATAAAATGCTATGATTCGCCATCTTATGACCCCATAAATACAGACTCAGTACAATGGAGTAGAATTCCAAAATGGCAATGTTACGATGGCGCCAGTGATCAGGCCAGAAACCATGGCAGAATTCCGTGCCAAAAATTGCACCAAAACCGATGCCACCTGCGGCATCCGTGAACAAATTAAGTTTAGAGGAATTTTGCAATCTGTCATCAAGAAAGAATGATCGGCCATTAAATGTTGACAGGAAAGATAACCAAACGTTTAAATCCTCTTTAGCCTCGCCATTAAGTTTTATTAGGTGATGAGAGAAACGGACGCCGTGGGTGAGATAGATCAGTCCACGCAAAAATGCCCTTCCTGGGGTGACGACGCTGCACGCAAAATTTAACAGGCCAACTAGGGACTGAATTTCGCGCAAAGTAACTTTTTTGCGCCTCAAAAATTCGCTGATAAACTCCACGCATTTTTGCAGCTTATTGCGAGGTAAACACGCTTCAAACTTGATGGTATCAAGCTCAATTCCGGCGAAAGATAGAGTTGTCGAAGGCCCAAAGGTTTTCTCTTGGGCCAGCGGCAGACTAATAAATGCACAAAATGCTAGAAAGCGATGTAACTGAGTCTGACAGGAAATAAGCAACAAATCATCAAGTAAATGTAAAATATAGTCGATATCGAGTTTGTGTTGAGCAATCCATTGAAGCGCAGTACTAAAAACTTCAAAGGTTTTGCAAGAACTGGCAGCACCCATAGCCAAGCAGCGATCGAAATAATACCGTCCGCGCCATTTCATGCCCAACAGATATTAGTATAAACCTACTAATAGGCTATCATGTATCATGCATTCTGATTGGCTACACTACTAGTAGGCTATTAGTGATAGCCTACTAGTAGCAACAGGGGGCGAGAGTCAATGGCTGATTTTAAGTATTAAAAGCTGCATTTAAAGGGGAAAAGTTTATCAAAATGGCCTAATTTTGGTTATGGATTACACACAAACAAAGACTCTTGGAAACTGCTGACAAATGCGGTAAAATTTTTAAAGTTTTCTCAAGTTTGCTCGTAGTTTTGACCATGAACATGAAAGTGACAGGCGATTTTTTAAAATACATGCACAATGTTTCCTAATATTCCAAGCAGAATCGTTGAAATTCAACAATACTTTGTCTTTGTAGCTATTTACCCCTATTTTGTCAACCTCTTTAGTGTGTGCTTGTATAAGTACAAGTTCATGTATTTAGCTGTCGTTTTAAAGAGTTTTTTTTGTTTAAATGTTGAGATTTTGGCCGAGTTTGTTTTTCGCCTTTTCGACCCTTTTTAAGTCGAGTTTTTCGATTAAATTTTAATCTAAACTATTGTCTATGTATACTAGATTATGGAAATGGTTTCCCTCTTTATGTTCCAGATATTTTAAAGATTTCAACAACATTCGGATAATCGGATTCTTTTGCATGCGTGTGATTTTCATTTCATTTTTATTCGGCTTTTTAACGTAAACTTTATTTACTAATTTTGTAACAATTCGGGAAGCCATTTTGTGTTCGAAATTTTGGACTTTTTAAGCTTTGTTTCCTTCTTTTAAATAAGTTTTAATTAACTAAACTTTGCTTCTATAACAGTCTCCTGTTTTACGACATGTTTTTTAACTTTTCCAAAACTCACAAGTTGTATTTTTCAAGTCATTCTTGGGAGTTCGCAACACTGAGTAGTTGTCAACAAAGCCGAGGCGAAATGTCGCCAAAGGAAGCATTTAAACGCTCATTTCGTTAAAACGTTATTATTTTACATAAAAATCAGTGAAAAATTCCATTTTCTTTATGTGGTTTATACTAAAACAATTAGACAACTCAGCCTCACTGTCTCTGAACGATTAGTCAACTCGGCTTCGCCTCGTTGACTATTCGCTCATAGACAACTCGGCTTTGTTGTCTAATTGTTAAGTGGTCGGAGGGTCGAATTGGTATAATGCGAAAAGCGTTCTTCACGTCGGTTTTTGCAAGAAAACCTCCAGGTCCCGCGAGTTTAAAAAAACGAATAGCATCTGCAACTGTGGCATAGTGCACGCTAGTGTTTTCGGTAGCTATGCCATCGTTGACAGAAGAACCGTGCGGGAAGGATAAATGGTGAATCAAACTCGCCTATTGTCTTTTTTGGGACTAGACCTAACGGAGAAACCCTAAATGGGTGAAATGGCGCTGCAGTAAAAGGCCCTGCAAGCCTGAGAGCTGACAGTTCTTTAGAAGTTTTTTATCAACGGTTGGATTAGCTAAAGCCGAGGGCAGATTTTTGCCTTCTTGGGTATTAACAACACCAGAAAAATGTAACGCAAAACCATGAGTAAAACCAGAAACAAGCGTAGAAATTATGTCTGCAAAATAGCCGTTTAAATATGGCTCAAGCCGATTTAGGTTGATTGGCATTGGGAGCAGCACATGACGTGGCTGAATTACGGGTTGGTCTGGGAAAATCTCGCCTGAGTTGGCCACGAAAATTACATTTAAGGCCAGGGTGTAGGCTGTCACACTTAAAACAGGAATGTTTAAATTCACACCCAGAACAAGCCTCTCCTTTGTGAAACTTGAAGAAGTAGCCTCGAGGAATTGAATTTTTGCGGCCCCTTACCAGAAAAGGTAGACGGGGCATGTTGCATTGTACTGGGTGATTTTTGCGAAGTATGCTGCGATCGCAGCCACAATTCCCAGTGAACATTGGCCCAAGACAACAAACTACGCTGGGTTTGACACAAAAAGCGAAAATTTTCATCATAGAACCGCCAATTTTGACCCCGATCTGCCAAGTCCTGTACTATATCCCCGTATTTCATGAGGATACTTTTTAGCATAAACCCCTACAAAAATGCGAAATGCACTCATCCAAACAGAAATATTTGTTATTTTCTAGGCTTTACTTATTGGCTCTACTGAAAGAGATGGTGGTAAACCGGCGTCAGAAGAGCTAAAGCTCAATTGGAATTTGTTATCTGACATTGGATTGCTCAACAAAGACCCGAAATCGATGTATTCATCGTTCCAAATTTTATTTTTAAGTTTAATGGAAATCCGACAGTCTATAGGTGAACTAATAGAGTGATATTCCTGCGTTGGTTGAACATGGCTAGAATTAGGTGCCAAAAACGTCTCATCTGAAATTGTGGCGTGGGCCGAACCAAGAGCGTTGGAAACAGCAAGTTGCGCCACAGCCGTCGGAGGAGTCGCAACATGCTCTGAGATGCGGACAATAGGCGATTCCATAACTGAGACAGCAGGTCCAGAACGACAACTTGATGGGACTGCGTGGACAACAGGCATTGGAGTTGCTACAGTTTGCAGGCGTCGAGTCACTTCTGTGGTTACGGAGCTGACAATCTCTTGGAGCTGTTGGGGCGTGATAGCCGAGGCTGGAGCAAGAGGACCAGCTGTTGCTGGCCGAGGAGAACTGGACGAAGGAACCGTCGTGGTTGTTCCTGAGGCACAGGGCGCTCAAGCATGATGGGAACAGCGTGCTGGTGGTACGGCTACCGATGCTGGTCGCTGAGCACGTTGATTTTGAGTGGCAGGCATGGTAAAATGCCTGAAAAACACTCAGAAACGTAGTGGGAGAATACTAAAAGCTTATGAAGTATAAAATCTAACAAGATAAAATAAAACTAAAATATAGGCTAGGTCGAGCATGGCACACAACGAAGTGGCCGCACCACTCGCCCAATAAAACGCCACTAAGAAATAATGAGGATGTAGCCTCAGATTAACACGTGTGAGGACGTAGCCATCACAAATAAGCGAGAATAAAATCTCACAAGGATTATAAAGTATGGAGTACTTCTCCAAATAAAACATATTCTGTGTGGACGTAGCCAACACCAGAATCAAAGTGTGAGGGCGTAGCCTCGTGCAAGAAGAAATCTAAATAAAATTAAACAGTATCTTGTGACATAAAAGTATAAAAGACATACAACCGAAGATAACAGACTAACAACTAGGAAGGCTTGCTAAAGCCTTAAGAATAGCACCGCGATAACTGCGATACAGTGTGTATTGCGCTCTACGATTGAAATGAACACCGTCTGGTAGAAACGGAGATTTTACGCGCTGTAAGAATCCCTTATGACTCCAGCAAAAAAAGTTGGGAACACCGTCCAGAACGACCTCTAAATATTGGTTCAAAATAAACGCCTGCCTGTTGAACTCTGGGGAAGCTGCCTGATGTGTAATGAGGCAAATCCCTACTATCTGAACATAAGGGAGCTGAAGTAAAAGATGAACGAGATCATCGATTTTGGAACCCACTACTTTGGGTTTGCTATGGCTAAGGTCGTTAGTACCCACTTCCAAAATTACAATGGCAGGCCGAAATGAACGAACTTTATCTAAATCGAACGCGATCAACTTGTCGACTGTGCGTCCCCCAATTCCATGCAATTTGACGGAGACCCTTTCTATATTAAAACTAATGGCCACACGGACGTCGAAAGTAGAGCGCAAATTGCGATGGAGACGTTTGACAAACGAGTGTCCAAAAACAAGAACTTTTGGGCGTGACAATTCCATAATACCCAAATTAAAAGTATCAAAATATAAGAATAATATAAGAAGAATAATAATTGAAAATCTCACCTGTATAAAGGTAAAAGAAAGAAGTCCAAAACGTCAAAGAAAATTCGTATGTCTTCACTCGATCACGAGAAAGGTTGAATTGAGAAGTGAATAACTTTGCTTTGCTTTTAGTAGCTAAAATCTGGCCTTGACTTTATGTTTCTTACGTAGGTAAAAGCACCGGAATTTCCTCCGCCAAGTCCCACCTTAATCTGCCACAATCCAATCTAACTATTTCCTACTTTTATCTTATCACTATAATTCAGGCTTGATGTAATCCAGTTTAAATAGTCTCAATAACAGTCGAAATTGCCAAAATAAGTCAATATGCAATGTGCGATCGCAAATATGTATTTTCTGTTATTTACTTTTTATTTTGCAACACTTAAGCGTCAATAATTTCACGACAAAATATGTTATTTTTTACCGCATCCTTTGACGTCACAGTAGAAAGCCAATGCATCACCTACGTCACGGTAGATTTGGTTTGCATCGATTTTCAGCCATTTTGCATCAGTGAATGCATCGGTCCCGAGTCCTTTTCTGTGTGAAATCTACATAAAGTTATATAAACACATAAAACTATTGTTTAAAGAAGACAAATACATTAGGACATCACAAAAAGACACAAGTACACATTACAAAATAATATATTATACCACAAAAATAACACATTATACACCTGTAGAAGAGAAGCAATTTGTGGAGAGAATATATTTATGAACTTCTCTAAAGAAATTACAGTTATCAGAAATGTTCAATACCATTAAGAATATAAATTGTATATATTGTATATATTTGTTTTGCCCACAAAAGATATTTACAAAGTAATTTAGAATATTTACAATAGTATATATGGGGGCTAGGAGCCTTTGGAAATCCTGTTGGACTTTTAGATAAGGCCCCTAGTTTTGAAAAATAAATTACAAGTAACAACTACTAAAAATGTTGACAAATAAGGCAGTATATATTACGATTATTTACATAAAAATAGTTAAAAGAATAAGGAGATAAAAGTTGACTTTATTTTACAGTATTTGCATTAAGCAGATAGTAAGTAATAGGATTTTATTTTTTTCTTACAAGAGAAATACGATTTGATATTTTTGATATTTTCATTGAGACCATTCCATATAGAGACCCCTTTGTTAAACACAGTATATTTGCGATAATTACTCGCTGGGGCACTTGTGCCCCGGGCCAAATGATGCCTAATATATACGCAGGGTATAATAAAAGTTCAGATGGTACGCGTACCGGCGTACTCGAGTCCTCGTACCCAGTCCTTCCGACCTTGCCCTGCGCATTCTTTTGTATTTGCATTTGCATTTACATTTGGCACGGTATTTGCTCGACTTTGCCTTTTTTTGGTTTGTTTCTTTGCACGAATATGTCGCACAGGCAATCAAAAAAACAAAAAACATCGAAAATGTTTGATTTCGACGCCATTCAGGCCAGAATTCAGTCGAAGGAAAAGTGTATTCGCGAAATTCGGCAGCAAATTAACGCTTTGAAAGAATTGGATCTGCGTCGCTTCGTGACAGAAAATCACGATTTAACTCAAGATGAAGCGCTACAAATACTCGGTAGCTCACTTTCGATCGAAGGTCTTTTTAATCTAAGAAAGGCTATCAACCACGTTCCGGCTAACATCGTTCGCGTGGTCGATGGAATCTCCCTGCGCTCGATGTTAATACACAAAGTTTTTAACATTTTGTCATCACCCACGTGTGCTACAACCAGCAACGAAGCGACAGTATCCGTTGAGGATCTTGAACTGTATACGGAGTTTGCGGAAAAGTATTGTTCGTTGTTCCTAGCCAAGAAAGACGATGGTGATGTGTTGTGGAGGCTTACGGAGCAGGAACAGTCTACGCCTTTCAACAAGTTTCTTACGCCTCCAGTGTCCTTGTGTATGCAGTGTGATAGGAAGCTAACTATTCGCAATAATCCATGCAAGGTTACCCTTTTCACGTTGAACGGCCCGATTCCGTGTTCCAAAGTGACCTTGGAGTGTAGGGAGTGCTGCCAAATCTTTGGAGTTTGTAACTATACTGACGCATCGGGAAAGCACTTTTATCCCTCATATATGAGTATTGAAATGGTGGAGATCAGCAATGTGACCTATTTCGAGCTGAGTTTATATAAGTGGTTTCCATCCCTGAGGTGAGTGCTTCTGAACAATCTTCTTTAAACATTCTTTATAGACAAAACGTTTATACTATTAACTAAGACTGGTATTTTATACTTTTTGCACATAGTAATCATAGTTGGGTGTCCTTCAGTGGATTTGCCGAGTCATATAATGATGTGTATGAGAAGGAAATTCAACGTTATGGTTCTATTTTAAAAGGTTGGTTGCATATTTAGTGCATTTTATATTAATTAGACTTATTACCAGCCGCAGTAGGTCACAGTTTTAGCATAGCCATGTTTGTGGTGGTGCAGAGTGTGTCAAGCCATGGTGCATTCTGTGTAAACCTCACAAGTCATGCCTAAGATGATGTGCCAGTTGAGGTCAACTTGTGTGCTGACCCCAGTATTTAGTTTTCACCAATTTCGTACCCTTTTTTGTTTACAGTAACCCAAGTATATGTGCCCTACTTTGGTATTTTACTCTGTTTAACGCCAGACAATTTTACTCATCAAGGGGAGAGTGCTGGGCTTAATGGGTTACACTGATTTTCGGCACGTAGGGACTGGTCGTAAAGTAAAAGGGGTGGGGGTGTGCTGGGAAAAAATAGGGGGTGGGTCACTATTTTTGAGCATGGTTGAAGGGGTGGGTCATCGAATGTTCAGTGCAATCATAAGGGTGGGCCATGTAAAAATATGCAGAAATTTTTCAAGGGCATGTGTATTAAAATTCATATTATAAAAATAGAAATAAAACTTATCAGGATCCATGTGTAAAATTTATACCACAAATGTTAACCTCAAACTTAAAAGCTGAATTTACTGTCTTGGCTAGTGGCTAACTAATTTTGTCTGATAATCATTGCTAAATGTCATGAGCTTGGTGTAGGATGTTTATTACATAACAAAATGAGTGTAATTTCTACAAGAGCATAGTTATTTAAATCACAATCATCTTTAGGGGTTTGGCGTTAGCTGTAAATGTCAAACTAAAGGTCTCTAATTATGAGAAAGATATTGCATAATGCAGTATGCATGCCATGCAAAGAAAGACCTTTCTGTATTTAATTCAGGGCCAGTCTTTTAACATATAGACTGGGGAGGACATGTCCCCCCAGCCCTCTTACTCCTCCCTCCAGTCGGCAATTTTGTCCCCCCCCAGTGAGGTCCCTAAGAACTACCTGCAGTAAGTGTTCAACCAGCAATTATGTATCAAAGTGAGAAAACGATGTTAAGTTGTGAACATTTCTGAATTTGACCATCATGTGCAGGCCTGTAACTAGCTATGAGCCAACCGAGTCAGTTGACTTGGTAGGCCAGAATTTGGGGACTGAAATTTAAACATTGCCAGAAACCGAAACCATGACTGAAATAATTTGCTCGTGGAACAAAGCATGAAGTGGCATGTTAGGACGAAATTCTAGTTTACAGTAGTTTTTCCAAGCAAAGATATTCCAAAGAGACCACTCTATCTTGCTCTTCAGTGACACTGAGAAGATGAATGCATCGATTTCAAGTACCCCAATACATGTAATACAGCACTGTAGAATTTGAAGTGTGGTGAATGATAATACTATACCACACACACATGTTAATTACTGCATCATCACATCATGTTGCCTTACTATGTTGACTGGATTACATTTGGGAGACTGTGAAATTGTAGTGATTGTGTCACTGTTTATAAGGTTAATTTCTTGTTGGAAAACTCCACAAAATGCGGGAAATAGCTTATCTGAGCTTCAAGAAATCCAACTCATGCCCCTCTACAAGCTTGCACCTTTGGTGGTCGACGCAGTTGTCTCAGAATCCTAGTTACAGCCTGATCTGCTTCCCTATGACGTATACTTAGCATGCACATATATGCTGGTAGCTGCAGTGATACAGACTTGCTGACTGGAACTTCTCCAGGTCCCCCGCTAAATATGTCCCCTCCAATGTTTGTGCAGCTATTAAGAAATTTGTAACAGTAGCTAAATGTTATAAAATATGTTGAAAGTGCTATTGGTGAGTGTTTTGAGGTAAGGGACTGGTCATAAAGTAAAAGGGAGGCGGGGTGGGCTGGGAAAATCATATATTTGGTGTATGCGCTTTTGGTAGCCCCTTAACTCCGTAAAAATTAGAGGCCAATCCAATCACCAGGTGATTATCAGTTTTATTACTTTAAGTCTCACTTTCAGTAATAACTTGATTAATGTGCTTTCTGGAATACTCAGTATGCAACTGTGGTACTAAAGGTAAGAAAAATTGATTTGTATGTAATTTTTGTTTAGATGCATCAAAGATTGATGATGAAAATGAAACAGATCAGGATGAAAAGAATATTGGTAAGTACCGGTACCAAGCATATATCAGAACTTTGTCATAACTGATCAAAATGTAGTAAAGGCAAGTCTTGAAAAAATATTTTCAGCTGAGGGACACTTTGTCCAGCAACTTTTTCGGTATGCTAGACAAAATTTCAGGACATTATGTTCCAATCATGAGCACCAATCTTCAAGATTTTTTAACATTAGATGCATTAATTGTTCTCAGCGATCACACTTTCCCTCGGACCCCAGTTTTATCTGCTCATGTTTTATCTAGTACTTATAATGTAGCAGGCAAACAAACATTGTTTTAATAGGGATTACTGCAGGACATACATTGCAATACAAATGATAAAGAGGAAAACACAGTCAAACTGTTGTTCATTTCCACGCAATATTGTAACATTGCAATCAACAATGTGATGTTCATTCGCTAATTGCACAGAGCAAGTTGCAACTGACACACACAAATTGCAACTGTCATTTTGTCAAGTTGCTACCATGTTCCCTGTTGACTCCAATAAATAACAAAGTTGCTTTTATTTTATTCTGTTCTTTTGCTAAAAGAAGATATTTCTGAACAATATTAGTATTTTAATTGTGAAGTTATACAATAATTATTTCAAATGAGATTTGTAATAGAACGATTTCAGCAGTATTGTAGCATGTAATACTGATTAGTGATTGCAGTTTCATGTGCCCGAAGTCCAAACTCACAATCCTATCAGAAAATACAGGAAAAAAGATGAAAATATATCTACCCACAAAGTGGAAATATAGAAGAACCAGGCGGGAAACGAATTCTGATAATAAATATTAATGCCCAGCAAAGTGCTTTTAAAAGAGCCATAAACCATTAAATTTAAAAATTTTATTAAAGATTAAGTAACGTTTCGTCTTAACTCAAGACATCTTCAGACTATATTAAATTACAGGCTGTAAGAGTAATTAAGCATAAAGTAAAGCTATTATAGCAATATTAAATTACAAGCGAATACGAGGTACACAAAACGTAAGGATAAGAATGGATAATGAAGGGAAGTGACGGACAAAAATGAGAACAACCAAATTAGACAACACAAACAGACGAAACATAAAAAAAAAAAAAAAAAAGAGATCAGAATACGTGAAGAGGGATTGAACTGCCTTGAACGTTGAGAGAGGGTTTCATTTTAGAGATAAAAAAGCTTTCATGAATAAGGAGTTCTTGTTCATCTGAACAAGAGGAGAGGATTTCGAAGTCGTTAATAGAAGCAGCGTGGCCTGTGGATGTGAGATGTGAAAAAATGCTGGACTGGGGAGGATTTTTACATTGTTTGCCAGTGATAGGAGTGATACCCAGATGTTCCGAAACTCGGGTGTGTAGATGGCGCGTGGTTTGACCCACATACGATGCGGAACAGCATCGACACGTAAAAGAGTACACTACACCCGACTTCAGTGCTTTGGGTATTTTGTCCTTAAAAGAGAAAAAGGTTGAGAGCCGTTTAGTTGATCGAAAGACAAATCTTATATCAAGATGTGGGAAAGCAGCACGACAAAGACGGTTGATTTGTGTGCGAATTTGCAAGGAGTGAGTGCCCGTAAAAGGGAGACAGAAATAAATTATTTTCTTAGGAACAGTATGAACAGGTAGCTTAGGTTGAAATACTTTAAGAAAAGTTCTAACACATCGGTCGAACATATGAGAAGGGAAACCATTTAAGATAAACATTCTACGTGCTGCTTCAAGTTGGTGATGGAAAGTGTCATAGCTAGAACAAATGCTAAAGATGCGGTGTATTAAGCAAGATATTATGCTGCGTTTGTATGTAAGTGGAATGAAGCTATGGAAGTTAGTAAAAAGACCAGTAAACGTAGGTTTACGGTAAACAGAAGTAGAAAATTTTCCATTGGAGCGGGATATGTCAATGTCAAGAAATGGGAGCTTACCATCACGTTCAACCTCACTAGTGAAGCGAATGTTGGTGTGCTGGCGATTAAGATATGTGAGAAAGAGCTGTACATGCTCTGAGCAACGGAAAAGTAGGAAACAATCGTCAACATATCGTCTATAGAGAAGTGGTTTGAAAGACGCAAGACAGTTGTGAAGCCAATCCTTTTCGTGAAAGGACATAAATATGTTAGCAAACAAAGGTCCTAAAGGACTACCCATAGCTATGCCGTCAACTTGATGATATAAACGACCATTGAACACGAAATGACAATTTTTGACAGAAAGACTTAAGAGTTTAGTAAAATCAGAACGAGTGAGGCCATGAAATCTACAACAGTTAGAAAACAAACGATTAGTAATTATCTCAATCGTTTCATCAACAGGGATGTTAGTAAAGAGTGAAGTAACATCAAAACTAGCCATTATAACATTACTCGTATCTAGATCAGAAGAAAGAAGTTCCTGGACGAAAGAGAAGGAATCCTTAATGACATAAGTGCTGGTCGAGATGGGAGTGAGAAGAGGAATAAAGAATTTAGCAATATTATACGAATAATGATTAATGCAAGAAAGGATAGGCCTAAGTGGGATATTACATTTATGTGTTTTAGGTAGTCCATACAGGATGCCTAAGCGTGAACCTGTAGGATACAGTTCATTGTAAGTTTTTTGATCAATTGATTCAGACGCTTTCAGATTTTTCAGCAGAGTCTTGACATGATTTTCGCGCTGTAGTGTTGCTTTGACAGGATCTTCATTCAAGAGTTCAAATTTCGTGTTATCAGACAGAATTTCCTCCATTTTTTTGTTGTCTGATAACACGAAATTTGTTTTCTGTCTGATAACACGAAATTTGAACTCTTGAATGAAGATCCTGTCAAAGCAACACTACAGCGCGAAAATCATGTCAAGACTCTGCTGAAAAATCTGAAAGCGTCTGAATCAATTGATCAAAAAACTTACAATGAACTGTATCCTACAGGTTCACGCTTAGGCATCCTGTATGGACTACCTAAAACACATAAATGTAATATCCCACTTAGGCCTATCCTTTCTTGCATTAATCATTATTCGTATAATATT